CATCAGTCCATCGTTTTGATTATGGTTACCAAAATTATACAATGTATCGTACCCTTCTAAATGAAACAGAGTCACATCGCCCACTGTGTAATATTTGAGATTAATCCATTAATGTTGTTTCTCCCAGACGTGCTAATCCATTTTTCAATAATTCTTTGAAACTCATTGTTTCAAATTATTTGGTAAATGCTCAATCAGTTTTGGAGCTAAATATAGGTGAGATCTTTTCATTACAAGTTGTTTAGCATCATCAACTTGTGCATCATTGTACAAGTTATTAATTGGGTATAATCTTCATTTGCCAAACACTGATTTTGAAATCGTTCTTTGAAGCACGTCTCAGTCGCTAAGATATATCATGCATGCAGCACTATACCGTATGTTACGTGTGGCTCGATTGAAGCTTAGTATATTATTCGCAGATAATATTCAGTTCTAGATAAATAATAAGACTAAGGTTTTGTTGACATAAAGAACGAATATTTCATTAGTCGTATGAAGCAAAACAACTGAAGATAACTAAATTCAAATATTTATTCATTATTGCACAAACGATATCACACATTATAAATAAGATATAAACGCTTTAATATAAATACCTCGCAGTTAATGAAAAATATGAGGCCGTTACGTTGGTGACTTGAATAAGAGGGTTTAAATGACTATATTAATAAACGTCGTTGAAGTAAAAGGCAACGTCATTAAATCGTTCTTTGTTTAGAAAAATGTCATATTTTTATATGACAGAAAGCACGGGTATATTTGTCAGTGTTTCTAAGCAAATAAACATTTTAATTCAAGGACATAAACATATCAATTCAGAATATAGGCAAAGGTGGTCCTCAAAGTATAAATGTATCTTTTTTTATTTGAACCCCGGTTTCTTTAGCGGAAAAAGAGTGTAGGGGTAGAAACACCAGGGGGTGATTAACCTGGCGACGACGATGAAAAATGGAGGAGTCATGATTGAAGTGTGTTTTCTTGTTACTTCTTTCTGATACTGTATAAAGGGTGACATTCCAAGACAGAGAAAAAGGGGTAAGTTGAGTCCTTGTTCCACTTTTCCTAAGACTCAGAATGACGGAAATTTGAATCAGACGTGTGGAGATTATTAAGAGAAAACCAGGTGAAAAGAATTTTTGAGTACTGATTTCACAATGGACAGTGTGAGTGCCTGATTTTCATTGCTCATGATGAGAATTTCTAGCATTGGACCTGCTATCATTCGCTACAAAATAACTAAAATAAAAAAGAGGTTGACGAATAGGATAATTGTATCGAGTGGAACAAAACGACGACGCAACCTTGTTGTATTATAAACGAGGGCTTAAAAAAAGGTAAATCGCTCCATTAATATGTAAATGGGGTGGGTAAAAAATTGGGATCATTTCGTACCAGTGGAGCAAGGTAAAAATAAAAATATTCTGCATCATATTTTATATTTCTACTCTCTCTACATAAAAGCCGCTTCGTTGTGTATACTGCAAGGGCATTCTGTTATCTTGAAGAAAAACATTTTACTGACGTTCTGGTTGTATGTTCTCATGGTCATTGTGACGATCGAAAAAATAAAAAGAACCGAAGGACCTATTAAACCAGCAACTTCCCGATGCACAAAGTTCAACAGAGTTATAGTCCTCTGCTGATTTTTAGCGAGTTCGCTTGTAAGGCATAATGCGTGGCGGTCTCATGGAAGAAACATCTGTGGAGCAAATTCCATTAGAGTATCGGCAGAGAATAGGCTTGACACCGTCTGCTAGCGTCATCGATTAGGCGAACAGCATCAAGCATGGGCACCGAGCAAAACTGTGCTGGCTGTCGATGTACAGCTATTGTTTTCGACGAGCAGACGTACACAGGAAGTAGAGAAAGGCACTTAATACTGGCTGTTCGTCGAGCTAATCAATTGATGTGCTCGAAACAATATTTATAGGACTGCCAGGATGTGGAAGAGAACGATGTCGATAATTCAAGATCACATGAAATTGAGCAGGCACACAACATCGAGCAGCAATCATCCAATGTAATCGAAGACAGAGTCTTAAATGCATGCGTTATCGACTGAACACTGTTAATTTAACTTTATGTACCAAAATTTCAAGGGTACAAACGTGGTAATCGTTAATATTGTAGCGCCCTCGTATAACTGGAATGAGCGAGCTCGCATTCCTAGACCATTCCTCACGCCATTGTGAATCTCCGACACGTCTGTTGGCTAGATCACTTCCATGCAATTTCGTAGCAGCCTGGAAAACGCTGGAATGTTTCTCGACTCGTCGATAGGGACATAAATATCCGACCAGGTGAAGACAGCTAAACAACATGGAATGCCGTAGTCCGGTCAACATGTCTATAAATATGTCACAAATTAGTTGCAGGTGTTCTAAATTAGTGAAAACGCGATAAATTAGACTTTGGTGAGTAAAACAGTGTTTTCGTTACAATACAGGTATATCGAAATTATGATAATTGAATTGCTATGTTAATAATTTACATATTATATGCGTCAAGTTCCTTATTTATAGACTTGTTAACTGCAGCTCACAGAACAATAAAGGAACCAGGATAGATTGAAAAATACATGTACCAATGTCAACACAGGAATGAGAGGAGGGGCAATATATTTCTTACTTTTCCTGATAACGGGAAGGGGGTTAATATTGTAAGAAAGCTGCTTACGTAAAACTTGAACGGCCCCTGGTACAAAACAATACAAAATAATCAAGAGCGAAATGCATCGCTGATGTTTGTCTTCGGTGTCTGCCATATGGCAGGTTATCGACCTGGGTAAAAAATAAATGAGTTTTTGCTGAACAAATAAAGTTAAACGGTTGTTTACTTTTTTGGGTCGATCATGTTTACCGCAATTTGCGTTGGAGTGTAGGGAGCGCGTAGACTAATCCGACTATTTGTACAGAGAAACATGGAGATTGATTGGTTTTTCAAACGCGGAGCTATCGCTGTAGCATCGCGCGATAGAATTACGTATTGATGGAGTTCAGTCGGGGGTAAATGTGCTCATTAAAAACAATTAGATCCATCTACGATATTAGCTAGCGTTAACAGAGATGGATGATGGTGATGGGAGGTTATTGATAAAAAACTGTTTGCTATTGACCGAAAAATACGTGTATAATTCAGTTACTGGAGACACCGAATATCTATGTATATCTACGTTAACGCGGCATATACGGTAACTAACACTAACACTTTAAGGAGCCTCGTCTTTTCGAAAACCACTGAACCATATAGATATACTAAAGTATAATTTATATACTAAGTGACATATAAATCCGAACACCCAGTTTAAATGGTTTTATTTTAATAAAATTTTGTAGTAGTACTTAATGAAGCATAATAAGTAAATGATAAAATTCAAATGAAAATGATTGCACTGCTTTAAAGCCATTTGAACTTTAATAATGTGTGGATGCAACCTGATGTGCTACGCATTCTCCAACGCGCCTAGGCATGCTTCTGATCAGGTGGTCGATGCCCTCCTGTGGTATCTCATTCCAGGCAACCACCAACTCCTCTCGAAGTGCTTAGTGCTTCTAGAGTCTGAGGAGGACGTTGCAAATTGAGCAATCTCCTACCCATCATATCTCACACGTGCTCAATTGGAGATAAGTCGGGAGATCTTGGTGGCCATGGTAACAATGTGACATGATTATGTTGAAAGAAGTCTATTGTGACTCTTGCAACATGTGGTCGGGCATTATCTTGTTGGAAAGTTGGATCAGCCAGGGTGTCAAGATAGGGTAAAAGATGGGGTTCTAGAACTTCGTGGATATAACGCTGCGCGTTCATGTTACCTCTGATGAAGATTAAAGGTGACCTGGAACCATAAGCTATAGCACCCCAAACCATAACTCCAACAGTGTGATGAACATGTCTTTCAACAAAAAACTGCGTTGCCTTCTAACCCTGGCACGACGATCGTGCATGCCTAAACAAAATCAAGACTCGTCACTAAAGACAATACTGTTCCATTCCTGATCCCAGAGTGACCGTTGTCTGCACCACTCAAGGCGATTACGTCGGTGTTCTCGAGTTAAAGGGAGGACCCAGTGTGGTCGGTATGAAAACAAGCCAAAACTTCTCATTCGTCGGTAAACACTTCGCATGCCAATAGGTCTTCCGTGTTCTGCAAACCAATCATTTGCAATGGACCTGGTGGTGGAGAAACAGTCCCTTAAGGCCAATAATCTTAGGCGGCGATCTTCACGGTCTGTTGTTCTACGGCGGCGTCCAGTGCCCCTTGCTCTTTGCGTACGGCCTTCTCGAAGCCATGCCTGACAACACCTAACCACAGTGTCTACACTTCTTTGCACTCTAACTGCAATTGCCCGAAAAGAGAGTCCAGCTTCCCGAAGTCCCACTATACGGCCCCTATCAAACTCACTAAGTTGACGAAATTCTACAGGTCTCCGTACTCTAGGCATTGTAACCGATCGTAAAGGATGTCAATAACCAAAATCCGCCAACGTTGATTCTTTACTGCGGCTGAAATATTCATTTTTAGAGCTTTAGTGAATTAAAAAAGCAGTATAAAAACCGGAATGTCCAACTGATAAGGCTGAAAATTTTTTCACTTGTTATTTACAGTAAGATAAATACATTCACCAACTTTTATTAAAATAAAACCATTTAAACGGGGTGTTCGGATTTATATGTCACTTAGTATATGTTTTTTATTTTTTACGTAATATACATGAGCTATACCTAAATATTAAACTTACTCCAGGTGGCCTTATTTGGATCATAGTGGACCTAATAGGAACAATTCTCAAAAACAGCTAAACAAGTTGAGAACATCAGAACATCATAAAACGTTTATTATAAAAAAAACATGCCACCTTTCGATAAATAACAAAAGAAGAAGAAAATTATATTAAGCATCGAGGACAGATGAACCGGAAGTGGTGTTCCTTCGTTAGTCCAACGCATGCTCGCCCAATGGAACATACGTCGACACGTTTGCACTTCATCCTTCTCACAACAGTATCACGATTCTGTAGTCTTGTTTCGAGTCATTTTTGACGATGCTGCAACGGATATATTTTGTCTCGTTTTTGCTGTCAGTTTTTTTTCTATTTCCCGAATTTTTAGGCAATGAAATCGTTGATAACTCTGTCCTGGTAACGACTTGAGCTGATGAATTAATCGCATTGCGTCTTGTTTGATTGACAGTTTTCAATTCAGGAGTCGGGAACAGGTCTACGAAACTGGTGTTCAATTTTTCTAGTGCTGTCGAAGATAACGCATCATTCTCATTCTGGGAGCAGAATGAACAAGATGGTTCTGATGATTCTTTGAAAACTACCTTTGGATGAGAGCTGCAGGATGGTGATTCCTTGGAAGCTACCTAAGAAGGCGAACTGTAGGATTCTGATTCCTTTGGAACTGCCTTAGGAACCGAACTCCACATAATTCAATAGTGTTTAAATAGTAATAATAATAATAATAATAATAATAATATTTATTTACTCTAAAATACAGGGAACATGAAACGAGTAAATAAATATAATATATCCATAGGAGGACAACGCCTGTGCATGGATCATATGTATGTTGAATTGCAAAATATAATAAAATAGAGAGAAAAAAGAAATTATTGGTAAGAATGGTAGATTATTTATTGTGTAATATTTGAGATTATTTTATTAATTTGATTTCTCCCAATCGTGTTAATGAATTTTTTAATTTTTTTTAAGCCTAATGTATTGCGTAATTGTTTTAAATTATTTGGTAAATGTTCGTACAATTTTGGAGCTGTATACAGGTGACATCGTTTCATTAGGGATTTGTTTGGTTTAGGAACATTTTTTGCGCGTAATTTATATCTGGTTTTATGATTATGTTTAATTATGTCGTGTCCACTAATAGTTTTGTGATAATGAGTGATGGTATGTAAGAAGTAAAGTTGTTTAGTATCATATATTTGTGCATCATTATATAAGTCATTAGTTGGGTATAATTTTGATTTGCCTAACATTGATTTTAAAATTCTTCTTTGAAGTACATCTAAATCGTTAAAGTATGTCGTGCATGCAGCACCCCACACTACTATACCATATGTTATGTGTGGCTCGACTAAAGCTTGATATATTATTCGTAAATAATATTCAGTTAATATACCGGTTAGAAATTTTATTTTATATGCTATGAATCTAATTTTCTTTAGTATGTGAGAAATATGTACATCCCATCTCAAGTGGGGATCTAGATAAATTCCTAAATATTTTGTATCATTAACTCTATTGATTTTTATATTTTTATCATTTACCTTAAACCGAAGGTGGTTATATTTTGGTAGATGATTAGTTAGTGATGAAAATGGTAAAAAATGAGTTTTAGTAAAGTTAATTGTTAATTTTCGGTTATTAAACCACTGAATAATTCTGCAAAAGTCATTTTGGATAATATCTTTTAAGTCGTTCCAATCCTTACCTTTATAGAGTATAGCAGTATCGTCTGTAAAACTGACTATTTTACCAGTACTGTTAATTTTGAATATATCGTTTAAATAAATATTGAATAACAGAGGACCCAAAATTGTACCTTGTGGAACACCACATTTAACAAACATTTCTTTACTATACGAGCTTAATAATTTTACTGATTGCGGTCTATTTGATAAATAATTTTCTATTAAAGTATACATCTTTCCACGAAAACCTATTCTTTCTAAGATTTCCAAAAGTATATTGTGGTTAACTGTGTCAAACGCTTTTTGTATGTCCACAAATACGCATATCGATGGAACTTTTCCATCTATATTTTGGGTTATTTCATCTGCTATACTTAATGCCCCATCTGTTGTAGATTTGCCCGCTATAAAACCATATTGATTTGAATTTAGAATTTTGAATTTATTAAGAAAATTAATCATTTTATTAAGGAGTAATTTCTCAAAAACTTTAGCTAAACTTGATATAAGTGAAATAGGTCGATAGTTAGTGACGTCCGTATTATCATTAGATTTATAGATAGGTATGATGATTGCTGTCTTGAAAGCTGATGGAAATACTCCAGATTTGAAGGATTTGTTAATGATATAAGCAAGTGGTTCTGTTATTTGTTTGGCCAGTATCTTTAGATGTTCAGCTCTAATTTCGTCAACTCCAGGGCTTTTTTTATTTTTTAGTGTCATAATGGCATTGAAAACATCCTGATAGTCTACTTCTGTTAATACAAATGAATTATTCAGTCTTGTTTCATGCAGATGAATATCAGCATTTTGTTTGATATTATTTGCTAAGTTTCCTCCTATATTCGTGAAAAATTCTATGAACTCATCACATATTTGCTGAATATTGTCTGTTTTCTGTCCTGTTTTTGTTTTTATTTCATTAATATTGTTTTTTGAATAGGATGACTTATTGAATATATCATTGACAGTGGACCATAGGTGTCTAGAGTCATGTGAATTATTATTCAATTGTTTTATATAGTATTTTTTTTGCTTTTCTCAAAAGTTCTATAAATTTGTTTTTATACTGATTATAATGATCTATATTTTCTTTAAATGATGCCTTCATTAAAAATAATTCGATAAATATTTTGTGACAAAACTTTTAGGTCTCTGTATGCCAAGTTTCTTATGTTATGCATTAATTATTCACATCTTCGGTTTTTTTGAGGTTTCTGTATCATGTTCACAGGCTCACACAATTAAAGCGTTATTCTATTCTATTCATAACGTTATCATAAAGTATACTTCCAATATAATACGGGGATATTGGTATTATTGAAAAAATAGAGACTTCAGGGCCCTACCAATTTTCTAACTGCGTTTTCTGGTTCAGTATAAACCAAGATGTGGAATTCTATATTTGAGGCATTCTGGGCTAAGGCAGCGATAGAACAAAACACCATCACAAATAATCATGCATGTTAAGCTTCAATTTTTCACTATAAAATTGTCTATGGACCTGCTTGCAGCCCACGCACTTACCCGAACGAAAATTCACCCGACTGTGTCCAGAAACCCGATATACCCCTGATATACCGACATCCGCCAATTATTGGTATCTGCGAAGGTCCTATATCGGTGGATCTCTATTCGAAACATAGAACATGGTTCCCAATCCTACGTGCAATTCAAAGGAACGTGCATTGTAAACGAAAGATATTCCAGAATCCAGATGCGGCGTGTGCGAAATCCATTTCCCTGTGTGGGTAGGAAGATATTCAGTCCGATGAGCATTTTCATTAAATCGGGCAAAATTAGATCTTCTAACAGAGTTCATTTGTCACTTCAGAAATTACGTCGGGGGATTGAGGGGTACGTCGGGTTACGGCGTTTGTGTGTTTTATTAATGGACGGGCTGTCAAGTCAAGGGCCGCACTCGATATCACTTCATCAAACAGGCTGTAAGAAAATAACTTGAGTTGCTACTTCTTCGTACCGAGCAGTTGGTTACGTGAAATTTTAGAAGCTAATATGACGAGGCAACAAAACATATACAAGGTGAGTTTTTTGAGCGGAATCAATCGATAAAACTATCTAAACGGTTTTACCTGGAAGGTGTGTCAGTCTCTACGTGACAAAACGTACTTCATTTCAAATACAAGCAGTGGTATAGTTTAATAAATAATAAAAGGAACTTCAAATGAGGAAGTTTGATGCAACATACTGTGAGGTTTGTACCGCTTCTTCTGGAGCTGTATGAACAGTTATCTCAGACAGCTTGAAGGTAAGTCATTCTGGTAACTGAATTACCGAACTTTTTGTCAAAATAAGCTTCATATCCTATAGCTTCTCAACTTTCAGACTTACTGTGTAGAGTCACCTAATTTTTGAGTTGCTCACCGTTTAGCAGAAATTACAATCCAAAATAAAATGTGGTAATATATTCCACCTGACTCGCGGAAAGGGAAGACCTTTATTTGATGGAAGGCAATATCAATCAAGGCAAGATTTTCTAATAGCTTTTCAGCAACACTATACAGTCCAACTAAATTTACATAACATAATAAGTGGATACAAAATGTGATGTGCCCATAGAAGACTAAACTCACTTGGTTTACCAAGGGCAGACTGGTCCAAACACAATACTGCTGAATTCTTTTACACACTATACAGGGTGATTCAGTTTATTATTGCATAAAATTAATGCATAAAGTCTGTATAAATGTGGGTCGAAAAATGCGTGGCTTCCGAAATACAAGGTGTTTAAATTTACTTTCTAAAATAGTTTTTTTTTAAATATTTCGAACAATATTTGATGTATAACAGTGAAAATTGGTATACGAAGGTTTTTTGGTACGACAAAACGAACCATGGGCATAGTTTTACTGTAGCCGCTAGAGGGCGCTCTCTACTGTACCTGTAGTGTATTAAAAAGACCGAAAATCTTTTCATAGTGCAATTTTTTGCTTGTTGAATAAAAAAACTGATTCTTCGCACTTTTCAACATAAAAAAGCTCTCCTGTGAGTTTTCGTTATAGTTAACCGTTTTTGAGATATTTCGATTTGTAAGGTTCGATGCATTTTTAATTATTTATGGGAAAATAATATTTTTTTTACATATTCGATTTGGGCATTACAAGTAATTAAGATGATCGTTTAGATTGTGTTTTTAAACACAGCAATAATTCCTAACTCCAAATAAACACAAAAAAAAGAATATTAATTTGCTTAATCTTCCAATATTATTTTTAACAAATTAAATTTATTATTTACAACTGAAATGCTATTGGATAGTTAGGACAAATATACAAAATCTAAAGTAGTTGCTCGAAATGTAAACCCAATTGTTCAAAACACAATTCACATCTACGAATGATCGAACATGTTATATCATTATTCAAATAAGGCCTTATTTCATCACATGCATTCCTGATTCTGTCTATTAGCATATCTCTTGTGGTTACGGGAGTCTGGTACACTTTTTCTTTTAGAAATCCCCACACAAAGAAATCTGATGGATTTAGGTCAGGGGATCGTGGAGGCCAGGCGACTGGCCGATCGATCTTTCTCGATAATTTTCGTCCAGCCAGTTTCTAACTATTCACGAATAATGAGCTGGACAACCATCAAGCTGGAACCAGGCCAATCTTCTTAAATCTAACATAACATCATCCCACATATTTGCATGTTCAGCCTTTAAAAATTCCAAGAAGGTCGCAGCATTTAACCTTGCAGGTAAAAGATCCAAATAGTCGATTACGGTAGATACCAATCCACACGTTCACACTAAATTCATGCTGAAAATTTCTTTCCCGAACTGCATGCGGATTTTCATGCGACCAAATATGTTGATTATGAAAATTTACCACTCCACGTCTAGTGAAGCATGACTCATCGGTCCATAAAACGTTACTTAAAAACTCCCTATTATTATCAGTTCTATCAAGAAT